GCGGAGAGGGGGGGGGGGGAGAGGCGGGGGGGGGGGGCGATCCAAAGACCCCGTCCACCATGTCATTAATGACAGCTCTGTTTCTTAAGACATGTGGTACTCTTCCGTAAACTTGGAAAGCCTATACAATGTGGCGTCACAAACTGTGGGGTCACCACATGTTCTGGGGGCGGGGGGGGGGTCCTTGAGTTCTCAAGAATTATTTAAATTGTAATTGTTCCCACACATAGTTCTGGCAAGTCAGCAAGTCAATAAGATTTAATGCAGGTGCTTTAGAGAAACGCAGATGCAGACGAAGAAACGTTTCGCGAATTCATTTTGTGTCTACGGGAACATTGTGTAGCTCACTGAGTGTGTAGGTTCCTGCTGTCACCGTACAGCCTGGTAGGGACCTGCAACATTGTGCAGAACTGCACTTGTCGTGACTGTACAGGAACATTTTATAGCTTACTGAAGGTGTAGGGAGGCTGTAAAGCTACTTAGGTTCCTGCTGCCACCGTCCAGACTGATAGGGACCTGCAACATTGTGCAGAACTGCACTTGTCGTGACTGTACAGGAACATTTTATAGCTTACTGAAGGTGTAGGGAGGCTGTAAAGCTACTTAGGTTCCTGCTGCCACCGTCCAGACTGATAGGGACCTGCAACATTGTGCAGAACTGCACTTCTCGTGACTGTACAGGAACATTTTACAGCTTACTGTAGGTGTAGAGAGGCTGTAAAGCTATTTAGGTTCCTGCTTCCACCGTACTCAGGACCTGCAACAGTGTGCAGAACTGCACTTTTCGTGACTGTACAGGAACATTTTATAGCTTACTGTAGGTACAGAGAGGCTGTAAAGCTATTTATGTTCCTGCTGCCACCGTCCAGACTGATAGGGACCTGCAACAATATGTAGAACTGTAATGACAGGGAGAGATGGCAAGTCGCGTAAATTTTGTATTGCTTTAAGGTTTCTCTTTGTTATAGAATGAAAGAACCCCTGATGAACGGCCTTAAAGAATATAATCTTCTGGGATGTGATACCGTGTAGTGTGGTATTGCCTATCTGAAACGTCAGACGTCACAGCGCCTCTCGAGTGTGCAAAACGAAGAGAAAACTCGCGACAATATTCTCTGTGCAGAGCAACACAAGGACAGACGGAAGAGTAACAAACATTTTCTGATCCTTCGGGTACGACAAAAAGGGAAGTCCCAAGTCCGCAAGACATCCGTAGAAGTTCCATACAGGACGTAGAACTCACTCCAATTTTAACGTGTCAGACGATACGTTGAGTATGCAACCTTACAGAACAAAATTTCCCTGTGCTGAACGAGATCTGGGCGAGTTTTGCTCCGATCGTGCCCTGAAAACGGAACCCAGTAATTTTATAACGATCACGTAACGGTGTACGTCAGGGTCTGTTAATGACGCGTTCTCAAAATGTGTAGACACAGTTCAGAAATATATTTACGTTCCACCGAAATGTTCTACCAGACTGCACGGCGTCGTATTCTAGAAGACTGGAAATATCACTGTACATTGTTTGGGTATGCAATTACCCTAAGAAGTCTGGACCTTAAACACTATCATCGGATATTCCAGCTTCTGTAACGGCACTTAACCTTTTAAACCACGGTGGTATGTATGCGTACCACCTGTTTTGATGACACACGGCAGAATAGTTGGTTGAAGTACTACTATGCTACAAGCCGAAGGGTCGCGGGTTCGATTCCCGATGAGTTCATTGCATTTTTCAATTGATCTTATCCTTCCAGCGGCACTATGGTCCTGGGGTCGACTTAGCATCTAACAGAAATAAGTACCAGGAATCTTCCTTGGGGTAAAGGCCGGCCGGCGCGTAAGGCTGATCTCACCTCCATCTATGAGCCGATATTCTACAAAATATGGGACCCTCGACGTCTCACAACCCTAGGGGCCTCCACGGCCTCATACAGGCATAGCTTTACCTTTTTGCCACCTGTTTTAACATAATTTTGTCCACACAAATTATTTATGTGTTTCGTACTATTCTCACAACAAACATTGATTTTTTCCCCGATGTAGCATTAACAGGTGGGTCCTTGTAATGGAGATGCATTGTGTTTTATTGGAGATACCAGTTCGTAAATATTATTTAGAAACTTTTCATTCCGATAATACCCGTTCAAAATGTTCGAATTGTCTTCGGTCATGAAGATTCTTTGGTTCCTAACAGCGGTAAAGGCGCCGAGAATTCTAGTCTTACAAACAAGTCATAAAGTTCTCTCTCGTGTTACAGTAAACTGTCGCTCTTCAGGTTACAGTCAATACGGATCGAAATATGAATATCTAAAAATGTTGTTCACAGTTGAGTACGTACCTTAAAAGACACGTGGGACTTACGAGCAAGAGGACTTTGGGACTGTGTTAAGGGCAGTTGGAGATACTGAAACGACACAAGAAAATATCCGAGATTGGCTTGAGCTGGATGAAGGAGACCTGCACCTGTGGTGGTGGCGGCGGTGGTGGTATTTTACTTAATTTTATGTAAGATTTGAGGTTCTCACAGCGGTGGCCATGAATAGTACGATATTCTGAGCTGTAACGCCGTGTGTTTCAGTATAAGTCTGTGGGCGTTTCGGAAGAACGTATCATCTCCAGCTTTGAGTTCGAAGTGTAAGCCGAGCAAGAAACAAGCAACAAGCAGGCGCCGCCATCAAAACTCGGACTTCTGCCGAGCTGCGCGTCGTTAAAGCCAGATACCCACATATTCTGCGTTAAGTTGTCGGGTATAACCTCAAATTTCTTACCGTCGATATGTTTGTAATTCTTGGACTATAAATATACCTATATATTTAATATTATATCTGTATAAAATTTCACATGCCTGGCTCAAGTGGTTCTCCATCAAACCGAAAAGTGAAGAAAATTTTCTCAGAAACGCCATGTTAGTATTTTATTTTCTACAAAACAAGTACTCTGACAGAAGTTGGATATTTTTCGAAGATCCATTAGGATACATAATTTCAGGATCCTAAACTAAGTGGGGCCGATCACGGTAGCCGAGCGGCCTAAGGCATGCACTGTCTTCGCTCGCTCGGAAGCCGGGATCATGGGTTCGAATCCCACTCAGGGCATGGCTGTTTGTGTGCGTTTTTGTGTGTTTGTCTACAGGTAGAGGCCTTGCGACGAGCTGATCATTCACCCAAGGAGTCCTACCGTATGTGTAAGATCTAGAAAAACCAAAGTGAACGGAGTTCATGGAGGTAGGCCTAGGCCCACTGGGGGTGTAGTGCCAAGGAAAAAAATACTAAGTGGTTCGAAGAGATGTAGTGACGGGAGGTTGGAGAAAACTGCATAATGAGGAGCTTCATAACTTGTACTCTTCTCCAAGTATAATTAGAAGGATAAAGTCAAGGAAGATGAGATGGGCAGGACATGTAGCACGAATAGTGGCGAGGAGGAATGCATAAAGGATATTGGTGGGAAAGCCACAAGGAAGGAGGCCACTGGGAAAACCAAGACGTAGGTGGGCGGAGAATATTAAAATGGATCTTAGAGGGAGATAGGATGGGATGGTATGGTATGGACTGGATTCATCTGGCTCAGGATAGGAACTAGTGGAGCTCTCGAGAAGGGCTCAGCTCCATGACGTTAGTTAAAGTGAGTAGTGTTGGTGTTACTCCTACTTCACAAGTTCGCCATGTTGGTACTAACCGTAAGCAACTGTAAACGTATGGAGTCCGTGTGTACTTCGGTCACATAACGTTCATACAAAATTTCATGAAATCAATCAATTGGTTCAAAAGATGAATGGAGAGGTCATACAGAAACACGCAGACAGCATGGCGACTTCATTATGTCAGGACAAATGTATAAATATGGCGATGAATATATAATTTCTCGGTATTCAGGCTTATCTGACACATTCACGAGCCAATTAGTGATACTCACAGATTTACTGGGTAATCTGTGTTAAGTAGCATTACTTGGTGGCTGTCAAATGTTATATCGTATTTGCTAGAACCTGACGTTTCGGAGGAACGTTTTGACTGTTTCTAGACCCTGCAGATCGAGGGGCATGGTTGACTAGCAGCACTCCAAGCGGCGCTATGTCCTCCAAGTTCGAATTCTTCAATTTATGTTAAGCTCGAAGAATGAAGTCGTGTAGGTTGTGACTCCGTGAAGTGTGGTAGATATTTACCTGAATTTGCAGAGTACAGAATGGACACAGCATTTCCCTCAGAAACGCTGGTTAGTCTCTATAAAACTACACGGCGTACCGTATCAGAATAAGTAAAATTTAATGTTCATAATAATATCATGACATGTACGTGTATTTATTAACCTCTGGGAAGAATCTACTGTCTTCACCTTCAGAGGAGAAGATGCTGACAGCAGGTTCACATATCTACCAAAGTGCACGGGGTCACGTCCAATAAGATATTCATAATATTTATGGGAACAACCACGAAGTAGTACTTCAGTATTTACTAACGTTTCGGAGGAATCTACTGCCTCCACCTTGAGTCTATATGATGGAGAAAACAAGCTACCAGACTGCACAGCGTCACTAATCTTCATACAGTCTGGAGACATTTGCAAGAGCGGTTCCTGGGCTCGAGGGTGTGTCAGTGAAACAGTATGCGAACATGTGGATTAGATTCTGCTGGCTCTGGATACGGACCATTGCGGATTCCTGTAAATACTATAACTAACCTTCGGGTTTCATACGGGACGGAGAATGTTTTCAGCAATTAAGCGACTACTAGCTTCTAAATGAGATTATTTTCCGTGGGTTTAATATTGGTTTCCAGCCTTACATAAAATTGGCTTCCCTCCAAAATATTCTGTGGGATTTTTAAAGCGGAAGCAGTAATGATTTTCCTCTCAGATATCCGCGGACTTCCACCCGACTACAAGG